GGAGGACATATTTACCAAGATCTCCACTCTGACGCCACTTTCCACAGGCTGTGTCATGCCTGGACTCAGTGCAAACACCCGGTAATAAACTACAGGGAGAAGACAAGCAATAGGAGAGCATCTTGGTGCGAGAACTATGATGGAAACAAATGCAGAGCAGCAAATACTAGCACACCTGTGCTGTCTGGAGTGTAGATGGTCTTGTCGGTCTGTAAAACTATGTGTCCAGACTGAAAGATCACCATGACCTTTTTCTCAAGCAGCTTCTGTGGAAACTGGGCTTGCAGGACGGCATATTGCTGCACTCCTTTCTCAAAGGAAAACGCATTTCCGGGTATCTACAGACACGGACAACTGAGAAAAAACGCGCTGAAACACAGCAAACTAGCATTCGTTGTGCTAACACAGTCAAATTTTACTGTAAAATATGTCTACATTCAAACATTTTTGACAGCCTCCTCCCAAAACATTGGTGTGAGTGGAGCGCCTCACCTCTATCTCGACCAGATCCTGGTAGTTCTTGGCGGGTGTCAGAGTAACCGACGCACTCATCACTTCACGGCTGTTATCTTTCGGGTTTTTTACTGAGATTTTAACATTCAGACTGGCTCCGGAATAGTCCTGCGCCTCCACGAACACTTTCTCTGGGGACCCCACCTTCAGTATGTTGGGCGCCGAGAGAACGTAGCTGAGCAAAACACATTCATTTAGGAAGAACGGGTCTCGGCCTCATTTCACAGACAGCACTTTTACAAAGGATACCGCACTACACTCATTTACTGAAAATGAGTGCTGCCCAAGAAGAATATTACTTATGAAATGAATTAAATAGATTTAATTTTGTTTCGAGTGATTTGGTTGGAAGAGTTATAATCGCTTCTCTCAAAAGCGAATGCACACCGGGCTCTAAAGAAAGACCTTAGCAGCTAATTTCTTTTTTTAAACTCCAGTAAATGATCATTATCAGTAAATAATCATATGCAAGTGATATAAATGATATATGGCAATAAATTGAGGTTAAAATTAGGTAATACATTGTAGCATAACAGTAATATTGGTATTGTATATTAATATTTTTTGTTTTAATGTTACTATCAATATATTGATTTTAATAGTAATTAATTGTAATAATTGTATTTCTTTAGGTAATTTCTTTTAAAATATTTGCCTTAATCTTGACACTTATTGTCATCTCACTACATCTAAATCAGTGTCCACAGATAAGGGTTCAATCATTCATGTGCTTTAAATAAAAAAAATTTTAATGATGAAAAAGAGCTTGTTTTATCAAAGGCAACACTTAATAATATATCTCAAATCAAAGCAAGGTTGTTTTTCAATGACACATGCGTGTTTCATAAGGGTTCAAATTTGTGTCCCCACTTTTTGTCAACACTGTCAGACATTCATTAAAATGTAATACAATCAGGGAATATCAGGGGCAGCTGTCATTCTAAACATCAATGTCAGACAGGCTCTGGTAAGTTTTATAGTTTTAGAATATTTGAAATCCTAATGTTAATATTTCCTCTGTCACAACCATGTCAACACCATCTTCCAATTTATGAGGAAATTATTTAAATTTTTTTAGATAATTTTATTCTCCTGAAACAGGTTCTATTAGCATCTAGCATCTAGCATCAACAGAAAAAAGCAAAGGGCTACTACATGAACTCCATTTGTTTTGTGAAAGAAATCTGACAAAAAGAAATCTGACCGTCAGATGTCACCACCGTAAGGTTTTCTGAAAGTCTGACGGTGGTGATGGGCCAATGACGGAGTTTACAGTCAACGTGAAGTCATCATATTTTTGTGGTTTTCCAAGTCATTTTTAATTACCTTAAATATAAAATAGTGTTTAATTTGTCGGTTAATGTATACATACTAAATACGTGACCTGACATGTTGCTTTTGGGGATTGATATACAGTAATTGATTAATTGTTTGATAGTTAAAATTACTACAAATTCAGGTTTTCGTCACCACCGTCAGATGTGTCAGATGAATATTTTGATCATATTTGATTATGATATTTTAGATTTGTTGAGGAATTGTTGGTCACATGTGAAAGTGTAATCTGTCTGCTAACATGAGAATGTGTTTTAAAATGTTAAAAACATGTTGTTTGCTGTTAAAAAATATAGTTCAAATTATATTACACAGTCCAATAGCACATTTTGAAAAGTTGGGAGGTTGCATCAAATCATAGCTCAGTAGCTATTGTGGATTTTTTTTCGAATTATGCACTCTGTTTTGTCCCATTTATCAAGAATCAGTCATATAATTTATTATTTGTTATTATTTATCATTCAGAAAGTTTCGCCTGAACTTTTCCCAATAAAGTTGAGATCTGTAATCATACACTCTAAAAAAATGCTGCTTTTAAATATAACCCAGCGCTGGGTTAAAAAGGGACAAACCCAGCTATTGGGTTGTTTTGACCCAGCTATATAATAGCTGGGTCAAAACATATAGCTGGGTCAAAACAACCCAATAGCTGGGTCAAAACAACCCAACCGCTGGGTCAAAACAACCCAACCGCTGGGTCAAAACAACCCAATAGCTGGGTCAAAACAACCCAATAGCTGGGTTTGTCCCTTTTTAACCCAGCGCTGGGTTATATTTAACCCAGCATTTTTTAGAGTGTATGAAGCATATTTAAAATATAAAGTTTGGCTAAGAAATGCATCAAATTTATATTTGAAAACAAAATGAATTCCGAAGCATTATATCAGAGAAGGTTATACATTACATTACGTGTTACATGGTGCAGTCCTAGTGTGTGTGTGCTGTGATACTCACAGGGGGTCGCAGAGAGAGAGGAGCGGTAATGAAACGACAACAGCCGCCAGCCACAGCAAGTCGACGCGCATCGTGCCGGTCTGTCGCTAACGGGCTCTTAACTAAAGTACCAGATGCTAATTCACAATATATTCATCATCCCCATCCTCCTCCTCCTCCTCCTCCTCCTCCTCATCGCTGTCAGTTATTGGGCAAGACGGGTGGAGGGACCTGCGCTATGATTCAGCGGAGGACCATCCTGTGCGATAAAATTGTGACATCTTCACTTTCCTCTTCTCTCTCTCTGGTTCAGAGTGTCACAGCAGCATCACGCTGGGATGGAATCATGTGCTAGTAAATAAATTAGTCGGTTAGTTACTTTTTATATTGTGAAAAGAAGTTTTCTGCCCTTTGAAGCCAATCCAACACCCAGCGTTAGAATTTGTCGTTCTCTGTCGGCGTATGCAAACTCATAGTGAACCTGAAGTTAAAAACCACAATTTCTCAATCGATCGAGTTGCTGTTGATGGTTGTAACACAACCGGATTCATCCACCATCAGCGGTCTGATCTACAGTAACCATTATAATACAGAGCAGTTTGATCGCGTGTCATTTAAGGCTCTGAAAGTTGATGCAGTAATTCTGTCTTTCACAATCATCCACTGAGCCAGTGCTTTGCAAAAACAAATAATCTTAACTCATTCAAACTAAGCTCAGCTGAATTAACTTTAAAATGATAATTAAAAGTGTAAATAGACGGAGTCAGGTTAAAGTACCTTACACAAATGTACTCTGTCAGATTGCAGCACAAAGACTTTTTGTTTTGTTTTGCAAATTCAGTGCACATACTCTTCTATAAATTAACTGATTTATCAGCGATAACAGTAGCAATATTCAGTAGCATTTTCAGTGCTGGGTAGCAATTTATAACATGTAATCTGGATTATATCAGATTCCAAACAAAATACTAGGCTACTTGTAATTAGATTGTTGTCACACCCCTTTGGATTTTTGTTGTGTTTTTATTCCTCATGTGTTCTGTGACCCAGTTTTCCCTCATGTTTGATTGTGTCATTAAGTTCAGGTGTGTCTGGTTATTTATCCTCATTTGCTCCACTATATTAGTTGTGTTCTGTTCTCTGTTTTTCGTCCGGTCTACTGCGTCCCTATGCTCCTGCCTGTTCTGTCCTGAATTTACCCTTGTGTGGATTTATTAAAAGACTATTTGCATTTATCTTCATCTTCTTTGTGCGTTTATCTCACTGTGGTGTGACAATTGTATTATGTTTTGAAATGCTCATAATCAGATTACAGTTAGTTTTTATGAATTACATAGGCTATTATTCACACAAAGGCTGTAAATTATTTATAATTCCTTTTATTACAATTCTTTTCTACTATTTTTTAATTTTCCTTCCTAAATGAACCCACTTACACACATTTGGACAGTCTTCCAGTTTTTGTGTAATTGCACACACCATCCACTAGCTGCGGTTGCACATGTAGAAAATGCACACATTTTAATTAGTATTTGAATTATCACTCAATCAGTCATTTAACCATGCATTGCTGTCTTTGGAAGGTCTTTGTCGTCAAAATACATCACATTTCACAAATTCATGTCATTTAACCCACACATGAAATGTTTAATGCGTTTCATGAAATTGATAAAAAAATAAATTTTTATCTCGCTTAGAGTTTGATATCCTCCCTGAGCAGCTCCACCAGCTTCCACTCACTCCCTCACCTGTCCCAGGACACTTGCAATCCTAAGGCAGAGCAAATAAACCATGCCTGTTAACAACAACAGCACAATGAATTTCAGCAAACATCTCTCTATTAACTTGCTTATTCGTTTTCCTGGGAAATGGAGGGTGCATTTGAAGTCGCTTTCGAAATAAGTCAGCCTTCGTGATGCAGTCGGCCTTGGAATGCGGTCTTCGGAGGGTGCACACTGAATTGGGACAGTTTATGTCGTGAGGCTGTGACGCAATCGCACTTCAAATCCGCACTTGGGAGTCCGTGCACTTCACTTTGGGACACAGATTCAGCCTGATACGCACTGTTGCTTAGTATTAAATTTTTATTCCAATGAAAATTAAACAAACCCTTTAATTTTATTCCAATGAAAATTAAACAAACCCTTTAATTTTTGTACATTCATAGCACTACACAACAGTTAGCCTGTGTAACGAGGAATGTCAAAAAAGGGGCGTTGATTCTTGAGCGCGTTTCACCTGAGTTTCGTGAGAGGAACAGGTACAGTGAGTTGACGCGCTTCCGGACGCAGGTGAGAGAGTAGCCGTCATGAACGCGAGGATCAAAAAGAAAAGCGGCTGCCTCGCGCTCTTCGCTTGGACGCTGAGGTCTTGATCCTTTGGGTTTTAAAATAATAACACCAACAGTTCCTCCGCCGGTATCACAGCAGTTTCTCAGGTGAGCTCAGTTTCTCTTTCAGTCGGGTGGTTGTTCGTCTCAGTGTGTTTTGAAAACAGCTCGTCAAACCAGCTTCGCCACCGGCATTCCGCGACTGACTGTCTGACTGACTGTCTCATCTTGAGCTGATAAAACTCACCTCACTCCAACACCGCCGCTGCTTGCTTAATACATTATCTCCAAACTCGGAAGTCAAATAATATGTGAAGAATTGATCATCAGTAACGAAAGTCCAATATAAGGCAGGAATCAGATGGCAGTATGGTACTTTAATATAGGGCAGTGTATTGAATACCATGGTATTGACATGCGTGAGGGATGTAATGTGACTGTGAGGTAGGCCTACGTCTATGTCTAAACTTAACCTTTGTTTCTCATGATTTTAAATAGTTCATTTTAAAAGCCAGTTGAAATGTTTGAAATTAGTTTTGTAGATTAAATCGAGCTTGTGTATGAATTCGCCAGGATTCACTTTAGAAAGTTGATACACATTTAAAAAAAAATGCTGGGTTAAATATGTACAAAACCAGCGGTTGGGTTGTTTTCAACCAACAGTTGGGATAAATGTTTAAATGGTTTATCCATATTTTACCCAGCGCTGGGTTGTATTTAACCCAGCATTTTTTTTAGAGTGTAAGCACCAACACACCACTTGTGGTCATTATATATTTTATATACTTGTTATTTTATAGTTTTGTTGTCTTGTTGACTTTGTTTTCACTCATAAAATGCGAAGGGAAAAAAATAACAATATATAGCTTATAGTTTAACACCTAGACTTTGACTACAATGTATTACAAATATATAAATATTACCATCCTGGTAGGGACAAAAATGTTTTATGATGCATTTTATGCTGCTTTTTTTTTTTTTTTTTTTAAGTGTGTTTACCCAAAAATATAAATTCTGTCTGTGTGACTTATTTTGAAGAATTGTACTTGTTAAAATGAATGGGAACTGAAGGTTTCATGCTTCAAAAGGACACAAAAACAGCATTATTAAATTGCATCATGTGCTGTATTTACAGGTCTTTCAGAGTCAAAAATAGTTCAGATTAAGGAAAAGACACCAGTTTAGTCAATTTACTGAAAGCCATACAGCTTTGGAAACGACTTGAGGGTGAGTTCAGTTCATGTTCAGCTGCGTGTTAAGTGTTTTTGTGGATGTCCTTGTAGCTGTAGGTTAGTGCTGTTCTCCCAGACTAATAATTAACCCCATCAGTCCACAGCCGAACAGTAGACTCTTTTGAAATTATCTTCTCATCTGTGAATGTGTTTGTGAACTGTAGGAATTCATGTCTTGCTTTTATCTTCCTCCTCCACTAGGTTAAAGTTCCCTTCCAAAATGTAAAAGGATGACCACTGTGTAGTCACAATTAACCAGGTACTTTGCTCTCTCTCTCTCACAAACACACACACACACACACACGGATACTCACATTTTGTGTCTCTTTGAACGGACACACCCTTGAACCACTGTTACACAGATATTCTTAGTCTGTGTTTGTTTTCACATGTGCATGTGTGGAGCATCATGAGTTCGGAGAGCGCGTTGGGCCTGTTCATGCCGCTGTTTGGTGATAGAGGTTCAATGCTCTTCTTATCTAGCTCTTCTCTTTTGTCTATCTTTACATTGTGAGAAACAGCGGAGGTAATTCCTTCATTTGTTGGTCCGTTTGGGCCCAAGTCATTTGTCGTCTTATGCTCTTTCTGAAGTTCTTCTTTGTCAGGTTGCATCTCTGTCCTCTCTGTAACTACTGTCTCGGTTTCCAAGCTTTCCTCCATTGTTCCGTTCATTTGTCCATCATTTTTCGACCAACTGTCCTTTTGTTGCTCCTGAGAACCCACTTTGGGATCCAGAGAAGCATCCTCTAGAATTTGTAGATCTGAACACAGATTTTCCCCTAACTCGGTCAAGTCCTTCTCTAATTGGTTAAGCTCATTTTCTGGCCCGTCAATCAGGACATCAGGCTCCTCCCCCTCACCACCAGGCCCCTCCTCTAGCTCCTCCTCGCAGCTCATGAGACTTCCGCTGTTTCCAAAAGAGGGACTTAGACTCTCCTGACTTGGGTTGGTCAGACTCTTCTGAAAGAGAAATGAAATGGTGAGAGAGTGGCCTTTTCCACCGATAGGTTCCCGGTGCTGGACTATTTGTCAAGTTTTCAAAAACAGAAGTCAGGTAAGACTGACTAATTCAATTAATTAGTGAAGCCTTTCTTGTTCATGTTGTTTTCATGCAGCAAAGCCATTTTATTTTCTCAGTTCACCTTAAATATGTTTGAAATGATTACTTTGCATTTCAGTCATAGAGGGCCCTATCATACACTCGAACACACAAGCAAGGTGCGGCGCAAGCATTTTTTGCTAGTTTCAGCCCGACGCAGTTCTCATTTTCCCGTCCTGCGCCGCGTTGTTTAAATCGCAAATGCATTTGCGCCCATTTGTGCGCCCATGGG